CCCCAAAACCCCAAAACCCCAAAACCCCAAAACCCCAACAGAGTTTTCATCAATTGAACTTTAAAATTTAGACTTTAGTCTGAAATAGAAATGATTGTACCACAAAGTGTTTATGCTATTTGGTTTAATAGTCTTTCCTCCCATCCATAAACCTTTTATGCGCGTTAGCAATCGCCATTCATGGAAGATTAATTTTGCTACCCTCCTTCTTCTTTTGCTCCATTGAAATGATCTTATTGTTGTTAGCATAGGCATCTTTAAGAGAAGCTTCTCCTTTCATTGAATCTAAAAACACTTAGATAGTATGCTTACTTTTAAGAATTCTTAACTTTAAATCATCGTATTTGTCTCTTAGATATTTCTGAGTTGCTTGGCTTTGCCCTTTGTTGAATACATTTTGAGCCAAAACACTATGCTTGAGTCTTCTTTTATCAAATAGTCTTGACTTTATCTGGTCAAGGATTTCTTCTCTCTTTTGCTCATTATTTCATTGAGATGGGCCTAAGCCAATATCTTTTGTTCTCATGCTATTTTCTATACTCTATATAGGATTAAAAGGTAACACTATTAAAAGAGGCTTTTAATTTAACTGCTAACTGATTGATGAACATCATTAGTGAGAAAAGAATACTGACAGGTTTCATGAAAGTAAAAAAATTATTAAGAAAAAACTAGGTAAAAATCGATATTTTTACTGATACAGAAAGGCAATAATTGAATGTTCTAAAGATTACCAATTCTTGGATTTGGATTTTCATGAGAAGAACCTTTCTCTTGCATTTTCTTGTCAAGTTTATCATCTCCATTCAATGCAAGCATTATTTCATCGCTCATGACTTTATTAGGAGTAACCTCTTCATGTGAGTCTTCAATAAGAGTTCCCTTTTCTCGGGTTCGAGTCTTCTTGGTTTGGGATTCTCAACTATTCGCTATGGAATTAGTCTTCTTGAAGACGGTCTTCTTTGGAGTACGATCTAATCTGATTGTACTATCGTGGTGTACTTCAGGAAGCTGTATATTCTCAGATAATCTAATCTTCATGTGTTTTTTGGGTTGTTTATTTGAGAGTATTTAGCTTCTCAGCAGGGACCTTTTCTTTATTGATATCTTTATTTTTTTTCTCCTCAATATGGTAGCTGCTTTTAAGATAGACAGGAGATGTTCCTTCCAGAGAGTCAAGACTATTGTCATTGAGATATTCATGGTCAGTATTCAAGTTAGTGTGACTAGATTTTCTAAACGATTATAAGTTGTATTACTTCTTTGAACTCATATATTTGCTCAAAATTTTTTTGGATATAGAGCTACTTTTCTTCCTGGATCGTAGAGTATTCTTACATCTGTCAATATTTACAGTCTGAATATTTATCTTCCTCAGAGTCTGATTGAAAGAGTTTTGTTTTATGTTGTTAAACTCTTGCTTGTACTCATTATTCAAAGATTTTCCTTGTATTCCCATATTATAGCCTATGATAAATCTGTTGATCATACTTGTACTCATAGCTTTATTCCCTGGATACATTGAAAAATTGGGTTCATTTAAAATTTTATACAAAGTTTTTCTTGTAGTATTGCTAGATCTTCGATGTTCCATAGAAATCTGCCTTTTGTGAGTTGAACTAGATCTTTTATGAATTCCCTCTTGCAAAATATGAAGCTTTAGCTTAATGTTATTATCATTCATTGAGCCTAGAGATAAAAATGATGACATTACTTCTGTAAAGTTCAGGAGATACTCATTTTATTCTTTGTTTTATTTTATTCTATTTTTTATCGATATCTTACTCTCAGTAAATGCTTTTAGCTTTCTGTCATTTAATTCAAAGTAAATATTAGGGACCTCCATCTTCGGGGATATTTCTTCATTAAGATTAGCTATTGAAGGTTGGAATGAGAGATTCTTGATAATACCATCTCCCTTTTTGGTTTTATAGAAAGACATCTTTGTTGTAAAGTTCTTCAAATTATTGTCCTTAACAGTCTTCCTAAAATTAGTGTTGCTTTCTTTTATGTTTGAACAGTTAAGTATGATATTTTGGGATTTTCCAGAGAGAATGTTGTGCTCAGTTCTGTAAAAAAGTCAGGGGTAAAATTTCATAAAATGAAATTTCTTACATATTAGACTCATTCTTATTTCTCCAAAAATCGCCTTGGTAGCAATCTTCTATATCCTGAAATATAGGACTAGATTCAGCTTCTATTTTTCTTTGCTTTCGGGATATTCCTTCATATTTATTTGGAATTTCAGCAACGATTTTCTTTCTATTACTAAAGGCTCCAACTTCATTTTGATCTGGATAAAATAATCAGCAAAATCTAGTTAAGAAACTTACAATAAAAGCTGGATAATGTTTTACTGTCTGCATTTGATATGGGAATATAAAACCTCAGTTCTATTGGTTAGAAGTTCTCAATACCTTGAATTTTATTTAAATTTGACTCATTCGATTTATTTTGGAAAACCAAGTCACTATTAGCAAGAAGGATCTTTTTTCCTCCATTCTCTGTTTCCTTGAGGTACATTAACCGTGAATATTTTATAATTGTAAATTTTTATTAATTCGGGGTTTTGGGGTTTTGGGGTTTTGGGGTTTTGGGG